AAACACAAATAATTTAAAAATATATATATATTGACGAGCCTCTGATTCCACAGCGTCGCAACACCTACCATTGTGTCTCATCACAACAAGAGTTGGAAATAAAAATCCTGGTAGTAATCCAAATTCACTTTTAGGCCCAGTCCACAATAACTGAAGAACTACACAGAGTTGTGAGGGGGAAACACTGAAGGACATCATGTATGTGTACAACAAACAAACGGACACGGAGAGGTTCAGTGAGTATCACAGAGTGCAAGGAGAAAGGAGCATCACCATCACCGCCCCTCCATTGGCACAAAGCTTCTGGATCAGTCAAAACAGCACCACAGTATTTGTATCGGTCGGTTGGGTGTGATAAATAGTTAGAGTTTGTTCGTCAGCAGACAAAGACGAAAGATGATGAGAAGGTGACTGTCAAATATCGTTAACCCTAACCGTACGTCGTGTTTTACTATCGTATCCATACGACGTGGGAAACTCTGTGCCACCACTTTCAACAGAGGAAATTTACTCATAAATCTGATTCGTACACTTTGCATAGCAGTCTGTCAAAATGATTTTTGGAGAGAGAAAACAAAGTTTCAAAGAGATCTTCGTACTAGAAATATTCTAAAATGTGAAAAATACAACCCCGGGGGTACAAAATGTTCCCAGGGTGTACGGATAGGGTTAAACATGTATGTATATCTGAGTTAGTAATGGATGGAAATAGAACTTCATGTAGACAGCAACCATATCCCAATCCCCCCTTTCTATGATACACACACACACACACACACATACATGCACGCATGCACACACACACACAAACACACACATAAACATACACATCAAAGCCCTCACAAAATCTGCTATAAAAAAAACCCAAGATAGAACTACTCCCACCCAAGTTTGAACAAAAGTGACCCACATTCCCACCTCCCCCCCACCTGTGACCCACATTTCCACTTCCCCCCCACCTGTGACCCACATTTCCACCTCCCCCACCCCCCACCTGTAACCCATATTACCACATTCCCCCATCTGTGACCCACCTTATCCCCACCAAAGTAGGTCAGTTTCTCAGTGTAACACTCCGTCATACGTCATTTTTCAAAATGGTGTACAATATAACGCGGATAGCTCGAATTCGTCGGGACCGGCCTCGGTCGTTCGAGGGATATCTTACAAAGATACAAAGATAAAAAAGCACCCCCCCCCCCCCCTTCCCCCCCAAAAAAACCTGGGACGGCAGGCACAGTTAGATGGATGTGAGATTTCAAGTCGTCTGTGTTCGGCCTATCCGTGCTATACGGTACACGTAGCAAACAGTGTGCAGTGAACGGTAACAAAACTTTAGCAGTCCGAGATGAGAAGCCACGTAACCACATCGGAGAAACAACAAAAACAAACAAACAAACAAACGGTTGGAAAAAAAGCAGCAAAAAGATGAGTCATGTGAAAGAAAATGAACAACTCCAGCTCTGATCAGGCGTACAGTTCTTCGTTATTTAGTGTGAGTGTACAACGATCAAACAACGATGATGAGACAAAACAGTTATGGTAAAAGTTAAGTATAGCCACCCATTGTCAACTGCTCCACCTAGCTGCTAGTAACAACATCTGGGTCACCGTGAGGGTCAAAATAGGGTTGTGGCTATGTCTCACCTCACATTGCTGACCGAAATGAGGAAATCCGTCGGGACAACTTTCAGGTAACCGTACTCCAGATCTTTTTCTCCCAACAACTTCTTTCGGAGGAGGGATGGTTGACAAGGCCAAAGTGCGGTAAGCCATAATATATGAAGATAATAACAAGGTATCATCCCCCCACCTCAAATTGCCAGTGCCACCACAAGGCATGACATCATCAGTAGCCCAGATTGGTGGTCCCGCTGAAGTCGTAGATGTCCTCGGCGGTGAGAGACTGGCCAGGCGAGCCACGCTGTGAGGGGCCAGCGTCTGCCAGTCGCAACATCTCCTCTCGGAGAATCTCGTCATCATCCTCGGGCTCAAAGTCGTCCTCGTAATTCCTGTGGGGATAAATTAAAAACAGCTAGCACATGTATGGCGCAAATCCCCGCTCAACTTGTTTCAGTTTTAGTTTTAGTACAGGTTTTACGGCGCTCACAACTGCATAAGGTCATATGAGCGCCAAGGGGTGGACGTCAACAAAGCA